TTTATCAGCATAAGAAAATCAAAACCACACAAAAGGCAAAAACTTTCAATAGCCTCTCAAGAAAAGTGAAAGTGTGTTCGTGGGGAGTGGAAGACCTGCGTGCAGTTACCAAGTATGCCTTAGAGCCAGAAGGACTGGACTCTCTGGAAACTTAATTATTTGATGAACTCATTACTTTTATATGATTTTCCCTCTTAAATGGCAGCTTCATTCTCCTTAGGACAATAGCATTAATTAAGGCAAATAAACCCTGCCAGGGAGGGTTCTCATCTCTCCTTCCTTTGAATTCCTACTACATTGTGTTTTTATACTTCTTAGGGCACTCATTAAATCTGCCCTGCAGTGGGGGTAATCTGTGCTCTTCTCCTATCTGAACAGGAAGGAAGGGCTGTGTTAATTCCTTACCAAAACTCTTACCTCTGTACCCAGCTCAGAGATGGCACTTAATACTCAGTAATATTCGTTTAACAGAATTGAACTAAATTACCATTCAATAAACCTCTGAGGTGTTATTTGGCACGTTAGGTCATAGGTAAATACATACATCAGTAGGAAACTTCCTTGGGAAGGCTGGAGTTCACACTGAGAAAGTCAGGAGAGAAGAATTTGGAGAGATTAAGCAGACCCCGAGTGCCTTATAATTTAACGAATTTGGATTTTATCCTAGGGCTAATGGGATGAATTTAAAGCAGGGAAGCAACAGTTTCTCATTTGCATTTTTAAAGAAAAATCCGTCTGGCTGCCAGCTGGAAAACAAATTACAGAAAGTCATGAGTGAGGCCTAAAGCTGAAGGGGGCATGGTGGGGGTCAGTTAGAGAACAGCCAGAGGTTTCTGAATTCTGCAGTCCTTGTAATTGAGAGACTAGTGGACTCACTGCCAAACTAACCAACCAGAGTACAACTGGGCAAGACAGGAAGGTGGAGGGGAAGGTGAAGATGGCAACTTTGATTTTTATATTTTTTTTATTGAGGCATTAAGCATAATAAAGTATGTAAAATACTTTATTTTGAAATGCACAGCTTGATGGATTTGTACATATGTATATACTAATGCATTGTCCACCTAGGTCAAGACAGGGAAGACTTCAGTAGCCCACATGCCCCTTCCTAATCAATATCTTATTAATTAAAAGGGAAGAAATAGTAATTTTACAGAGAAAACAACAGATGCCACCTTCACCTACCTATCAAAATGACTATCATCAAAATGAGACAGATTGGCAGCATGTGTTTCCTGATATGGCACACTGCGAAGGGCAAAGATGGCCAGAAATTCTTTGACACTTTTCCCATAGGGAAGTGTGGACTCTGTATGCCCCCTACCCTTGAATCAAGGCAGGCTAGGAGTGATGGTCTGACAATTCTACTCTGTCGGGCAAGGTCTGCTTTTGGAACCCATGCCACCTGGAGAGCTTGCCTATGGACATTCTAATCTAGTCTTAGTGGAAGTTCTATCTAACAACTGGCATCAGCTGCCTGCCATAGGAGTGGGCCATCTTGGATACCCAGTTGAGCCTTCAGATGATATCAGCTCCAGCCACCACCCAGTGAGATCCCAAGGGAGAACTGTTCGGCTAAGCTCCAACAATCTGCAAAACTATGAGATGTAGCAATGAATTGTTTAAGCTGCTAGGTTTTGAGATGGTTTGCTATGGAGGAATATCAACAGGTAACTAAAATAGCAGCCAACATTGTGAAACTGTAAGCTCTGCGAGACTTTATCTTCCCAGCTGCATCCCCAGCTTCCGGAATAGTACCTGGCACACAGTATAGACTGATAAATGATTGTGGTGACTGAATAACTAAGTGAATAATTAGCAATGTTATTGGTTTGAGGAAAGGACTTGAAAATCCACTTTTAAAAAACTAGTAAGCAAAGTTTAAGTGTCTATTTTTTGTTTAATAAGTTATTTGAGCAAGCAGAGGGTGTCTTAAAAAAATCATGCTATTAATCTTATATCTACATTCACAAGTGGGTCACATATCTGACCTACCTAAAAGTAGGCCTCTTAAGAAAATAGAATGTGGCAACCTAAATATTTAAAGGCCTCATTAAGGATGTTGTTTTGAGGCTTTAAATCTCTTAAATCTAGTCCTTCAAAAAAATCCTTTATTTTACTTACCTTTTGCTATTCATCCAGAAACACCAGGGAAAGGATGTAAAACAGAAATAACCTAAAAGGAGAAAAGTTTCTCATTTTGCTTTGGTGATGTTGTAGTATTTCTGGGATGTTTATAAAGCAAAAAAAAAATAATCTCTCTCCCTCTCTGTTTTCTTCCCCCTCTCTCCTACCCTTCCTCCCCCTCACTTCTTTCTTTCAAATTTTAAGTGGTTTTTTCCATTTCTAAGCTCCTTATCTGAACCAATAGCATCAGTTGCAGACCAGCACCAGCAGGAAGGCTGATATAGAAATGATTAATGAGTGTGTAACAGCCTAAGGAACAATGAATAGAGTTAGTGCAAGTTGAATATTCTACACAAGGGTTTCCTTACACTAATCTTAATAATAAATAGGAGCCCATTTGTATTGGCTTTTTTTGGGGGGGTTATTAAAAAGTAGCATCTGTTTACATACTCATCACCCATATAAAGACATGTGAAATCATAATACCATATATTGAAAAAAATAAATTATACAAAAATATACTGTTGTGTGATGATCATTGAAAAATGACATTATAGACAATTCTAAAATAAGATAATCATTATATAGTTCAGTTAAAATGTTGTACTATTTGTAGTACACTTACCTCAAAACGTAGGAAGACATTTAAAGAAAAATTTAGCGATGATCTTTCCCATACATAGGCGTTACAAAGTAAACTAAAATAGCAAAATTGCTCAAAATCATTATCTCTAAACAGAATTTTTACTACCAAACATATATGCATTAAATTCAATCAATACTTATCTTTCTGAAATAAGAGAAAAACCTGAGGCTTATTTTGTTTTAATAAACATTGTTTATTTTTTTCTTCCATGGACCCTCTATTTCCAGTTCTGGCTGTCAATATACAATCCTTCACTTTCCATACATTCTTTTATTAGTTTACTTGCTTTGGAGCCATAAGCAGAATATCTCACTGGTCAGGTAGCATTGTTGTTTTCTTCTTTCAAACACAGACTAACTCTTCCAAAGGTTATATCCTCTCACATAGCTGAGAAATTTTCCTGTTCATCAAGATTGTACACTGTATGTATTTCCTTTCATGTCAGGCCATTACTACTCAGCTCCAAGTACTGGCTTATCCCATATTGAATTATTCATCTTTATCATGACCCACCTGTTGTTTTTTTCCCCACAGGAAGCAAAAAGGAAGCAATTTACCTACTATATACTTTACATCAACACAGTCAAAAAATTAGAGAACCTCATGTTTGCTCAGGATTCTGTTTTTCTGTGAGCTCCTTTTCTACGATTGACTACTCACATGTGTTCCCAAGACACAGTTCTACTGTGGGAGCACTGACCATGGCAAAGAAAGACCTTGGAAGTAGTGACCCTGATGCTCTGAATGTAAAGCTTTGGTCTGTATGTAGGGATTTAGATCTAAGTGCTTCTGATATTTCATCTTTTCTCCTAACAAGTAACTCAGTCCTATTATTCCTAAAGCAGAAGAGAAATGGAGTATCCAGATAAACAGATAATCCTTCTCTCAAAATATTTAATGGATTGTTTTTTGTCAAGATAGAGTAACTGTCAAGCAATGAGTGATGGCTATTTAAGATGCATAAAGTGACTAATCCTTTATATGTGGTCATTTCTTTCATATTTCCAACTTGTACCCGATAAGTTATCTTTTTTTTTTTAAGATTTTATTTATTCATGAGAGACACAAAGAGAGAGGCAGAGACACAGGCAGAGGGAGAAGCAGGCTTCCTGCAGGGAGCCCAATGTGGTATTCGATCCCAGGACTCTGGGATCACACTCTGAGCCGAAGGCAGATGCTCAACCGCTGAGCCACCCAGCCGTCCCCCGATAAACTATCTTAATGCAGGGTTCCAATTCAGGGTGCTTAGAGCTGCTAAGTTCAATACCCCCAGTTACAGGTACAGAAGCTTCCTCATCACACTACCACTAATGGTCCAGGGCCCCACCCTCTTTTTCTTGGGATTATGGGTGTTTAAGGGCATGGAGTAGATATGGAGGGGATGTCCATGCACAAGCATTAGTAGGGGCCATTCCTGAGTGGTTAATGATGAGATGCCATTCAAGACCTCCATTAGAGCCTTTTGTGGTTAGCAAGATCACACCTCCTACTAGTTTATCTCCAGAAATTCCTCTTCTCTCCTTCATAGCCACCCTTCTATCTCCTGCTCTTTTTCTTCTCAATAATCTTTAGACCCAGACATTGTGGTTATCCAACCTGCACATATGGTTAGCACACACTGGAGTCTGCTGCCACACTGGTCAGTATTTTTAAAAACATCCCTGATCTAGATAGAGCTCACCAACTAAGGCATCTTACTAAACCAGTCTATCATGGCAGAGAGGGCCCAGACATGTTGTTCAGTGATTCTCATACATAGTGGGCACTGAGTAGTCCTGCACCTTGAATGTCATCACAATTCTTACGATCCCAGAGAGGCATCACAGGAAAGCATTTAGGAGCACAAAGTTTTTAACCTGCTAAGGTTTAAATCCAGGTTCCAAAATAAATAAATAAATAAATTAATTAATTAAATCCAGGTTCCAACACTTATGAAGTAATCTTTGAAAAGTTTTTTTAGACCTTTGTGCTTCATTTCCCCTGTAAAATATGGTTAATAGTACCTCTCTTCCTACTGTTGTTAAAGGTAAAAGGCTGAGGTCAGTGCCTTAGCACAGTCATTGCTTTTAATTTGTCATCAATTATTACCCACTTTACTTCCAAGATCATGTGGCTAATGGTGATGCCGAAGTCTACATCATTTTCTGAATCTAAACTCCATGCTTTCTGTGACACCACTAACAAAGCACTCTCGTACATATAATAAAAAACAGCAGGAAGCCACTGAAAGATTTGGGAAGTACTTTACTTTATCATGTGACACCATATAACAGCCAGATTTACCGACACCCAACCACAGTGTAGATTTGAATAGAGAAGATGGCTCAGAAATAGCAATCTTAGTAATTCAAGTATTGACCTTTACTTAATAAAGGAAAACAGTTTTGATGGTGGGTTTATCAGTTTTAAAATGCAATTCTATATAGTTCTTGTTTTCTTAAAACGACTACTGTTTTGAACCATAAACAAAGTACAGTTTATTCACATAAAGGAACTGCAGCTGAAAACAAGTTTAAAAATTCCCATCTCATTCTATTTTTCCCTTCTCAGCATTGCAAATGCTTTATTCCAACATATGCTGAAATCCTCTGCATCTCCCATACCATTTCCAGGGGAATCCCTGGCAAGTAGTGAATGTCTGTCTTCCTTCAGAAAGACACAGACAACTTGGAATTTTTCTTATCACATTCTCTAATATTTCTACAACTTGCACTTTCTGCTCTTTTAAAATGTGCTTCTCTTTATAGCATAGCAGAAAAAACATACCACTAGGAATCTGAAAACCTAGATTCTGGGCCCAGCTAAGGCAAAAACTAGACGATAATCCTAAACAGGTCATGAAACTTCCCCAGCCCTGCTCTTAACTGCAAAAGGTAAGTCCTATTTGTTCAGTCCTTTATTATCATTTATCTTCACAATAACTATTAGATTTATATAAGGCAGCATTATACTCATTTTATATAGGAAATTCAGTCTCAAAGAAGTTACACAATCTACCTGAGATCTCACAGATGGTAATATGACACAGCTAAACTTACAGAATCTCACTCAAGACCATAGTACTGGTTGGTACACATCGTACTCATAACTTAGTTCAATGGACGAAGCAGCAACTTCCCAGGTCCCTTCCAGTGATCAAATTTTAAGTTTCTTCTTGCATTTTTTTTCCTTTCTCCTTCCAACCAGCATTTAAATTAGAAAACCTATATATAATTTGTCACTAAATTTCATTTACCATGGTTCTCTGATTTAACCCTTCTTCACAATTTCTTGTATTTCTATATTAAATCCAGAGATGTTACTTTTTTCTGTTAGCTCCCATGACTGCGTGCCTCTCTGAAAGCTTTTGGATCGGTCTATCAAAACAGAGATTGCTAAAATTTTGTAAATACCAATTCCTTTTTATAATTTTAAGAAGTTATTCCATATAAAAATAAAACAGTTCAAAACAAGAAAAGTCCTCTTATTCTCTATAATAATAAAATATTCTATTGATTTTATACCACTTTCCTGTCTGCTTTCATTTGGGATATACTGTTATACCCTTCCTTTGTAAGTCAGTCTCCCTTTCCCTTGTAAGAAAATATCAGTCATAAGAATTAGGAAAACTCTTACTTTCACAATTCCATAAATAAACTAGAAGAATAAATTAATCATCTAAATTGGACGGCAAAATTTTGAATGTTAAATGAGAGATTCAGGACATTTCCCAAGAGGTCATATGACCAATCTAAAAGCTGATGATATATGATGTGCCTAAAATTACACTTTAAGTTTTTTATTTATAATAAATTTAGATATGTGATTAGTCTTGCTGATATTACATATAAACATATGCATAAAGTAAATTAAACTTTACAACAAAACAAAATTCATTCTATCAGCAATCCTGAAAATTCAGCAAAGCCACATAAATAGTACACTTTCCCAAGAAGGGAGCTTTAAACATTCAGTAATTTGTATAATTTAACATGCTGAAAACGAGAAACTAAACAGGTCATGCGAATGGGAGTACATATAGGAAAAATAATTTCAAAATTTTCTTCATTTTGATGATATTGCTTTCTTGTCTTCAGGAGGGCAGATTTTGACTTCAAAAGTGACAAAATATTTGAGAAGGGATTTTACATCTTTCTGTTCTAAATAGTATTCTTCTGCTATTTTCTCAGCAGTCCATGTTTCTGGATAAAGTTTATGATTATTGAGAAGTGTCAATGCCTCCACAACAGAAATTTTGCCTTTGGGAATGTTCTTAATATTCATCATGTTAAAGTCATGGCCTTTTACCAATCTCAACTCCTTTGGCTCTTGATGTGTTGCAGCATCTTTTACCTAGTATCAAAAAACAAAAGCAAAAAGAAAAGGTTTTCAAGATGAGAGAAAAAAATTAGACATCTATTTTCACAGTTCTCAAATCTCCACTATACTTCTTCAAATAAATACTACACATGCTTCTTCAAACTATATTTCCTCATTACAATGACACATAATTCGATGGTGCTTTTGCCACATCGCCATTACATTAACTATACATAACTATAGCTCAATCATCAAGAAATCTAGGTAGTTCCGGAACGTAACAATTCAATGTATATCATCCACTCACCTCATTATTTCATACATATTAAAGAATAAAGACAAATTGATTAGATTAAAACTGTTTTTTACAAGGGCAGAATTCTGATTTTGCCCTAAGAGCTTACTCAATTACTTCAACTCCCATTTCCTAGTTTTGTATTTCATATTCAATGTCTCCAAATACTTTAAATGATTCAAATATTGCTAGATATCTTCACTCTTTAAAAAAAAATAATAAATTGGGCAGCCCCGGTGGCCCAGCAGTTTAGCGCCACCTTCAGCCTGGGGTGTGATATTGGGGACCCTGGATTGAGTCCCACGTCAGGCTTCCTGCATGGAGCCTGCTTCTCCCTCTGCCTGTGTCTCTGCCTCTCTCTCTGTGTATCTGTCATGAATAAATAAATAAAATTAAAAAAATAAAATAAACTTATATTTCCAATATCCCAACAAACATAAAACCTATGCATACCCATCTTTCCATCTGTCTGTCCCAACCAAGTGTAATCCTTGCACTGTACTCTGTATCTTTCATTACTTGACCATGCCAATCATTCCCTTTTCCTTTTTCTTTCAACCGCACACTGCCTACTGCTGCTGTATGGTCAAATTATAAACATGCCATAGTCATTACCTTTTAAAAACACCCACCAAACCTGAACCAACACTTCCTTTTATGGCCAGTTTCCCCGTCTTAGTTAAGCTTTAAAGATATTATTTGTGATCGGGATCCCTGGGTGGCGCAGCGGTTTAGCGCCTGCCTTTGGCCCAGGGCGCGGTCCTGGAGACCCGGGATTGAATCCCACATCGGGCTCCCGGTGCATGGAGCCTGCTTCTCCCTCTGCCTGTGTCTCTGCCTTTCTCTCTCGCTCTGTGTGTGACTATCATAAATAAATAAAAATAAAAAATAAAAAATAAGATAAATAAATAAATAAATAAAGATATTATTTGTGATCTTGGATCCAAGGTCAGAGGATCAGATCTTCATACCGAGGACACTTTTCAGGCTTTATTTGAACTTACTACACCATCTGATGCTGTTAACCACTCCAACACACACCCATATTAGTCTTTCCCCTTGGTTTCCATGCCATCCCTTTTCCTAGTTTTCTGTCTCTCCACAGTTCCTTGTTCTTGTAGACTGTTTCCTTTCAACTGCCCCTGGAAGGTTAGCATGCTCCAAATTCTGATCCAGGCCCTCTTTTTAGTCTTCACATTCTACTGAAGTAATCCCACATACCCTTTGGACTTCATTAATACCTACATGTTAATAATTTTCAAAGCTGATCTCAAACCTAGACCGTTCTCCTTACTTACAGATCTAAATTCCCAAATGCCTAATTGGCACCTTTACTTGCATAATCTACAAGCACCTCAACGGGGTGCCTGGATGGCTCAGTCAGTTGAGCATCTAACTTTTGATTTTGGCTTGGGCTGTGATCTCAGGGTTGTGAGATCCAGCCCTGTGTTGAGGAGGTCCGAGTCAGCAGGGTGTGTGTTTGAGGATTTTCTCTCTGACCCTCCCCCTGCTTACATATGTGTGTGCACATGTGCTCTTTCTAAAATAAATAAACTTTAAAAAAGAAAAAAAATTAAGAACCTCAAAATCAATATACCTAAAACTGAACTTACCTCTTTCCTCTGAAAATTCAATTCTATCCCCATATTCTCTATCTCAGTGACCAATTATCACTTCTCTCCATATCCCATTCTAAAACTTAAAGCTTAGTTTAAACTTAAAGCTTAGTTATACTTGACATCTCCCTCTCCCTCACAATCAATGACCAAATCCTATTGACAGTGACTCCTAAGTCCCTCTTGAACCCATTCACTTCTCTCCCCATCACTACATCACCCTTCTCGAAGCTAATGTCTCTTGTAGGAACTACTACAAAAACCTCTCAACTCGTCTCCTTTGACTATATAAAACGCATTTTCCCCCTCTCAGCCTATTATGAAGCCAATCGGACATAAAATTCAAGGACTTCCCATTGTCAAGATAAAACCCAAATTCCTTAGAAAGACAAATAAGGACCTTCATGACTGGGTCCCTATTACCTCCATCTTATCTTATTTCTCCCAAATGTATTGCTCACACTTTCCCCTAACTGTAATCAACTCTGTTGTCCAAAGGTATCACATATTCTTCTACTTTTACACTGTAACTTTGGTTTGAAACACTCTTCCCAACTTCTTCACTTTCCAATACTCATAGCTTCTCTTAATTTTATTTTCCCAGGTAATCCTTCTTTCACTCCATATAAATTGTTATTCAAAATTCACTTCAGATTAAAATTAAATACTGAAATTATTATGACACTGAAAAAATGCTTGGTAAAATTCAACATCCTCTTGATTAAAAACAAACTCTTAGCAAACTGAAAATTTTAAAGTCTCAAATCTGACAGAAGTATTTTTAAATCAGAAACCTTATCATTTTATTATAAAAATGCTAAAACATTAGAGACACCCAATGTAAAGGAAGAATAGGAGAGACTACCAACTTCTACTGCTATGTTAATGTTACAAACATAATGAGAAGTAGTATAAATATTAGAAAGGCAAACTGTAATTCTATGCTGATGATACAGGAGTATCTTCAAAAAAATAACAGAATCAATGAAAACCCAACAGAAATAATAACTTAGCAATGTGGAAGCTGCAATACAAAAATCATTTGCTTTCTGACATATTGGCAATAAATAGTTTAAAAATTTAGGGTGGAAAAAAAAAAGATCCCAGAGTAACAGCTTTCCCTCTATCCCCCAAAGACTCAATAATACAAAGACATTAATTCTCAAATTAATTTATACATTCCCATTCAATTATGCTCAAAATCCAAATCAGACTTATTAAAGAACCGAACAATTTAAGGGGCACCTGGATGGCTCAGTCGGTTAGGCATCTGACTCTTGATTTCGGCTCAGGTCATAATCTCAGGGTTGTGAGATGAGCCCTGCATAGAGCTTTGTGCCCAGTAGGGAGTCTGCTTCAGAATCCCACCATACTCTGCACATGTGGTCTCTCTCAAATAAATAAATAAATTTAAAAAAAAAATATATATATATATAATTAATTAATTAAAGCACCTGACAGTTCATCTGGAAAAAAAAGTGAGACAAAAGCCATGAAACCTTCTGGGGGGGGGGGGGGTCATAACAGCTATCATTACAAAGCTCCTTTAGTAAAATATGACCCTACTGTAAGAATAGAAAAATAACTAGAATTGATAAATCCATCAACAGACTTGTATGTATTAGCATTTTAAGGGAGTGGAGAAAAGACTGGGTTATTCTGTAAGTTATATTTAGACACCTGACCATTCAGTTGAAAAGATCTCCTGGACACCTGGGTGGCTCAGCGGTTGAGCATCTGCCTTCAGCTCAGGGCGTGATCCCAGGGTCCTAGGATCGAGTCCCATTATCAGGCTCCCTGAAAGAAGCCTGCTTCTCCTTCTGCATGTCTCTCTCTCTCTCTGAATAAATAAAATAAATAATTTAAAAATTTAATAAATAAATAAAATAAAATCTGAATAAAATAATAAAATCTGAATAAATAAAATCTTAAAAAAAAAAGATGTCCACACACCAAACACTACACTTATTGCCAAATAAAGATTTTAATATAAAACACACAGTTGTAAAAGTACGACAAGGAAATACAGAATATCGTTTTTATGTTAGAGTGAGTCCAGACTTCCAATACGATGAAGAGCAAAAAGGTTAACATGTTTGACAGAATTCTCAACAGCAGTTAAGGTAAAAAAGCCATACAAAAATAAATTATTTGACATATGCTATCAGTAATGTCTCACGACTTCACAAATCATTAAGAAAACTAGGAACTACCCAAAAGAGAAAAACGGACAAAACATAAATAGGTACACTTCAACATTTTTTTTCACTGCCATTCCCCCCAAGTCTTTTTAGTCTTTTCCTAATATCCTAATACCCCCATAAAAGAAATTTTTTTACGGTTTTATTTATTCGAGAGAGAGAGAAAGAGAGGCAGAGACATAAGCAGGCCTCATACAGGGAGCCTGATGTGGGACTCAATCCCGGGTCTCCAGAATCACGCCCTGGGCTGAAGGTGGCACTAAACCGCTGAGCCATCCAGGCTGCCCTCCCAACCTAAAATTTTAATACCACTGTGTATCTCTTTATGTATTGTATCTATGTAACTGTATTCATAAAAACTGCTAAATTTTTTTCACTCCCCAAGGGCCAATTTTTGAATGCATGATTTAATACAGCATGAGATAAACAACAGTTGGAAGTATTATTCAACACCTGTTACTGATGGAAGTACTCAACACAAAGAACATGAACATCAACCCTTCTATCTTTTTTTATGGGAACATCTGGTGATAAATGAGCCCTATAATTGGTATTACATGTAACAACTCACAGACCTTATTTTACATGAATTTTATTTCACTTATCTAATGAAAATTATATTAATAAGTATATCTGTGTAAACAGTATTGCCTATCTAGACAGAGAGGGTATCAGAGAATTTTAGAATGGAAAGAAATCTGGGAATTGTCAACGGCACTTCTCTCCCCTTTAATCATACTCTCCCCCCCAACTTAGGACCTTCCTGCCCCAACAAACTCATCTAGTTAACTCAGACACATCTTTCAGGCAAGAGCTCGAATCTCACTTTCTCAAACCACCCGGACCAAACACAAACAAGTCCCTCTTCTGATACACTTACAGTGACTCTACTTTTCCTTCACAGACCTATTAGTAACTATGTACTTATGGCTGCTCATTTGTTTGTCTGCGTCCCTCACAATATTCTGAGCACCAAGAGCAAGGACTAGGTCTGCTTTGCTCACAACTATACACAAAGCACTTGTGCCTGGCATTTATATGGATTTATATATAGGTTCCTATTCCCAATGTGTTCTGTAGGCGCCCAATTTTCACATTTCCTATCTGAATATCTAAAAAAAAAAAAAAAAGAAAGAAAGAAAAACACCGACAACACAACACTAAAGGAATCCCGCAGATCGCAACAAAATTCAATCAGCTAAAGGCTGAGAAAATAGTTATTAAAGCTCTTCTTCGGTGATTCAAGTGACAACCACCAAAATTACTGTACCAAATCCTATAAACCGTGAAATAATATCACTCCTACACTCAAGTTTCCCCAACACACTGTATTCTGGTCACAACTACACTGACAGTTTTACACGTGCAGAGCATTCAGTCTCTTTTACTACCTACCACAGGTCTCCTGGTCGTCTTCCTGGGCCACAAAGGGGCTAAATTACTTAACCTGCTGAATTATTATTATTTTTTTTAAAGATTTTGTTTATTTATGCATGACAGACACACAAAGAGAGAGAAGGAGAGGCAGAGACCCAGGCAGAGGGAGAAGCAGGCTCCATGCAGGGAGCCCGACGCGGGACTCGATCCTGGGCTCCAGGATCAGGCCCTGGGCCGAAGGCGGCGCTAAACCGCTGCGCCACCCAGGGATCCCCTAACCTGCTGAATTAAAACACACGTTACCTGCAGAGAAGATACAGGATCTCTGGAATCAACATACACATCTCTTAGTAACGACAGCAGTTTGTCATCCTTCCTGTCGATTTCCTCCTTGATTTCTGGATGCTCTAAGGACAGAAGAAGAAGGTCACAGCATTAAAACCAGAGAAAATTTCCTCCAAGCTCCTAACGCCTAAACAGGAGAGAATCCCTTTTAGTTTGTTGCTGGATCAAGAGGCCCTCGGACAACACGCCAGGTCAGGCTCGGCGCGCCTCGCTCTGCCAACACCCCGAAGGCGACACTTCCAAGGCCCCAGACCCCTTCCGCTTCCGGATCCCCCGCAGCAGGTCGGTAGGCGGGGAAGATACAGGGGTGGCCGGGGTCGCACCTGCACCCGCACCTGCACCCGCACCCGCACCTGCACCCGCACCTGCACCCGCACTGCAGAACCGCGACGTGGGCGGGGCCGTCGCTCCGCGGCAAGGGCAACGGGCCTCCCCCAGTGTCACGGGCCTGGGGTCCCGCCTTTCCGCGCCGGGCTGCCGAGCCCCCGCCGCCGCCCCGGGTCACCCCCGCGCGGAGCCCGCCCAGCCGGCCCCGGGGGGAGGGGGGAGGGGGAGGGGGGGAGGGGGACGGACGCGCCCTGCCACCGCTTACGGCTCATCTGCTCCCGCAGGAAGCTCTCGGTGGACGGGTGCCTGGGGGCGGGCGACGGCTTCATCTTGCTGATTTCCCGTTCCGCCCGGTTCTCCAGGTTGAAACTGCGGAGCGCGCGAGCCGCGGCGGCCCCCATCTCCTCACCGCCCGACGTCCCCCGGGGCCGCCGCACGTGGGCCAGCGCGCGCCGGCGACCTCGCGGACGCACCGAGCATGCGCGCTGCGGGCCCGACCCCGGCCACGCGCCGGAAGAGCGGAGGCCCAACGCGCCCCCGCGCGCCCCCCAGCGGTCGGGAGGGCGCGCGGCTCGCCTCCGCCCAGGCTGTGCGGGAGGGAGCGCGTCCTGCCCCCGGCCCGCGGCCCCGCGGAGGCGGGCGCTCCGGCGCCGCGGGCTGAGACTGCGGGCCGGGAGCTTGACCTTGCCATCCCTCCGCCCACGGGCCGGGGCGGCCGGAGAAGAGCCAAAGTGACGCGGCTGCGAAAAGCGCCCGTTCCCAGCCGGGGCGGCCCACGGCGCGGTCCTGCGGGCCCGGGATCGAGCCCCGCGTCGGGCTCCCTGCGCGGAGCCTGCTTCTCCCTCGGCCGGCCTGGGTCTCTGCCTCTCCCTCTCTCTGTGTGTGTGTGTGTGTGTCTTGTGAATAAATAAATAAAAATATTTTTTGAGAATAATAAAAGCACCCATTCCTGTTTTCTGAGAGGAAAATAAGGAAGGTGTATTCTTGGGGCGGGGTGGGGGGCGCCGGCTGGCTCCGAGGGTGCAGCGTGGGACTGGATCTCGGGTTGTGGGTCCCAGCCCGAGGTCAGGTGCAGAGATTACTTTAAGAAATGAGCAGACAACAGTGCGATTAGGCGTCACGGCTAGCTAGGGCAGCTTGGGTGGCGCAGCGCTTTGGAGCCGCCCGCAGCCCAGGGCGCGATCCTGGAGACCCGGGGTCGAGGCCCACGTCGGGCTCCCTGCGCGGAGCCTGCTTCTCCCTCGGCCGGCCTGGGTCTCTGCCTCTCCCTCTCTATCTGTGTCTCTCATGAATAAATATATATAAACCTCTTTAAAATACAAAATAGATCTAAAAAATGATTCAAAAAAATCTCAAAAGTGTATTCTTGCCCCACGAATATTTGTTCTCACGCTTACTTAAATGCCCTTTATGTTCCTGCGTCCTTGCCTGATGCCTTTCTGAGCTACCTTGTTCTCTTTTTTCGAGGTCTTTCACATCCCGCTCTGCTAAGGCAATTTGACTTGACTGAATCGGTTTCAATCGTGTTGTCCTCTCTCTGCGTTTTTTTTTTTTTTTTAATATTTATTTATTCATGAGAGCCACAGACTGAGACACAGGCAGAGGGAGAAGCGAACTCCTCGCAGCGAGCCTGATGCGGGACTCGATCCCGGATCCCGGGATCACCACCTGAGCTGAAGGCAGGCGTCCAACCGCTGGGCCACCCAGGCGCCCCGCCTTTATTTATTTTATTTTATTTATTTTATTTTATTTTATTTTATTTATTTTATTTTATTTTATTTTATTTTTTATTTTTTTATTTTATTTTATTTTATTTTATTATTTTATTTTATTTTATTTTATTTATGAGACAGACACACAGAGAGAGAGGCAGAGACACAGGCAGAGCGAGAAGCAAGCTCCTCGCAGCGAGCCTGATGCGGGACTCGATCCCAGATCCCGGGATCACCACCTGAGCCGAAGGCAGGCGTCCAACCGCTGGGCCACCCAGGCGCCCCGCCTTTATTTATTTTATTTATTTTATTTTATTTTATTTATTTTATTTTATTTATTTTATTTATTTTATTTTATTTTATTTTATTTTATTTTATTTTATTTTATTTTATTTATTTTATGAGACAGACACACAGAGAGAGAGGCAGAGACACAGGCAGAGCGAGAAGCAAGCTCCTCGCAGCGACCCTGATGCAGGACTCGATCCCAGGACCCACGGGTCACTACCTGAGCCAAAGGCAGATACTCAACCACTGAGCCACTCAGGTGTCCCTGGTTGGTTTTAAACCAGTGAAAAGGAAAGAATCCATCTAAAGGTAATTGAATAAAAGTAATTTTTAAAAAAGAATCAAAGAAAGGGGCAATTTTATTTAAAGAAAATTAATGTAATTATTAACTACAATACTTAATCATAGTGAAAGTACTGCAAAGAACATAGCTTCCACCATTGATTATCATGAAATGTGTTTTTGCTGGGATTGGCCTTTGGAATGGATAGAAGCTAACGCGTTCTCTCTGGTAGAGTTGGGAAGTTACCTGAAGGTGGCAGGCTGCTCCAAGATTTTCATCTTTGAGACTTAAGCAGGCCTGTAAGTCGGTGCTCTGCAGCCCAGATACTCAAATTTCTGTGGATGTCAAGACATTTCATCTGCCTCACTATGTGCGTGAGCTTTAAGAGCTATGGTAGCACGTTCTGCTCACTGCCTGTTAAAATATTTTCAAAGTAGAAAACTCATTTTCATAGAAATTTTACCGCACTTACAGCAGCATGTTAGGCATCTAGCAGCGTAAAAGTAATGGGAGACAGAAATTACAGGAAGGGTAGGGGGCTGTGGAAATTACTGAATGAAAGCACCTCTGAGTTTCCACATGTGGGTAAGACTTGGATCCAGTGTTTCAGGAGCCCTCCAACCTGTGCCAGCTACATTATTGCCTGGTTCTGGCCTCATGCTCCTCAAGTGCTCTTAAGAGCAGAACAGAAGCAGAGGTACTCCCATCAGAAATGCACAATTGGCTGTCATCACTTGGGAGTCATCATGGAAATTAAACCGAAATCACAAATGCGTAATTCCAGCTCTTCTGGTCAAAATATGCAAAATAACAGGAAGTCTGGGCTCAGAACTCTCCTGGGCTTCTGTTAAGGCTTGAAGTCAGGTCCCCCAGGAAAGTACAGCCAGGATGCTGCTCAGAATTAAGCATCTCTCTGAATGGAGTATTATGATGGGTATGTATTACTAAATATCTTGGGATGCTAATGGAATAAGCCCAGGATCCTGCCAACATAATAGAATATAAATTCTATGAGGGCAGAAATTTGTGTCTATTTTGTTTACTGCTATATTCATCACATTGAACAGTGCCTGGTACATACTAGGTACTAAATGAATGTCAAGTGAATATCAAATGAACCCAATGACAAGTAGGGGCCCTGAGCTGGAGTCCAAGCCCTAGCTACATAGGCTCCCTCTGCCAGAAGTGGATCCTTGTGAAAGTCACTCACTCTGGTTGAACCTACCCTCCTCATCTTAAGACCATAGTAATTAGTGGGTTTCACATAGCTTAAAAATATAAATATATATATAATAGTAAATATATAAATAAAATAAATATATATTTATATATTTATTGTTTTATATATATATATATATATTATGAAGCATCTAACACAGGTTTATTTCTGAGTTCACCATTCTGTTCCATTGGTCAGGATGTCTGTTTTTCTGCCAATACCATACTGTTTTAACTACTATAGATTCATAATATAGTTTAAAATCAGGGAGCATGATGCCTCCAGCTTTGTTCTCAAGATTGCTTTGGAACCAATATATTGAAAAACAGCAATGAGGGAGGGCTTACCCTGTAAGATATCAGAACACAGTATAAAAACCTTACAGTGTGATACCGATACAGAAATAGGTAAATACATCAATAAATACCATAGTGACAAGACAGATCTAATTATGTATAGTGTGACATTTAAAATCACCCTCTGATATGAGGATCCACATTTCCCCCCACAAATGGATAGCCACATTTCCAGTGGCTATTTCCACATTTCCAGTCCACCATTTCTCCTTGCCTATCATTACTATTCACCACTTGCTGTTTCCTTGTTCCTCTCCAGTGTTCTCCAGTTTTCCCTGCATCAGATTGCATCAGATTGCTTTCATATGTATCCATGAAGTAAGGGACATTTTGTCATGACTCAGTTAATTCTACTGAGGTAATTTTGTTCTGTGCATAGCAATTTCATCAGTATAATTCTCCATCTTGGCTCCAGCTACAGACAGTACCCCTGACAATATGGCAAGGGAAAAAAAGTGCAAAGTCATAAGTAACAAGCAAATACCCAAGAACTAATTTTCATTTCCAATATTATGAAAACAGAGAATATGAAATAAGGAATGTCAAACGCTAAAGCTGTGAAAAGCAAATTGTAACCAGAGCAGTTTACCTTAGCTAGTGAGCCCAACTCAGTAACTCCAGAGGTAGTAGAGACTCTCAATCTGTTTCTGTCTGTCCCATCTGTCCATCTGTCCATCTTCAGGTCTGGCCCTTTCTTTCTGATTGTAACTGTGTCTCTCTTTCTTTTACATCCATAGGTTAACATAATGATTATGAATTACTGGCAGTAGACAGACCTGCATTTGAATCTTAGTTCTATCTTCCTGACTGCATGATTTCTGGGTAAGTGCTTAAATTTTTCTTTTCGTCGGTTTCCTCACCTGTAAAATGGGATTACCTGACAGGATTGCTGAGAGACACATAATCAATGTGAAGGCATAGGACTTGACATGTAATAAACATACAAGAACTGTTAGGAATTCTTTTATATATCAAAAATATTAATATAATATGAAACTTTTCAATAGTAATAACTTTAGATTTGGCTAGCACTTTATAGTAATTGGTTTTCTCAGATACTTTATTTCATTAATACATTTTTGCAATAGCCTAGTGTTTTATCCACATTAGAAGTATTTCAGAGGTTGCATTTAGCCTGTTGTTTATAAAATAGTAGACACCCTAGGAGGTATATGAAGTTACCTTGCCCATAAACTTCTGGGAGCACTTTCTTATTGTCAGTTTGTGCCCCCTTCTACCCTGTCTCCTTTTCTGCTAGCTTCTCCCTCTTTCTGTGTCTAGGAATTCCATACCTCCACCTAAACTTGAGTGCACACAACCCCTGCTGAGTCTCATTTCTGTTGGAAGTGCCAGGGTTAGCCAAGACAGGGAGGCAGATATGGTAGACAGAATTCTGTGATGCCTAGTGACCCCAAGGAGAGAACTCAGACAAGCCTGCCTGGTCTTCTGACCTACAGAGCTATGGGATTATAAATGGATATGGTCTTAAGCCTTTACATTTATGGTGACTAGATATGCAGCAATAGAAAATGAATAAAACATAGCAGGTTAACCTGAGAGTAGGATTGGGGATGAAATGAATGGCAGTGGACCCAGGCAATCCCAGAGGCCAAGGAAAGTGTGCCTC